TTTTTTTTTTTTTTTTTTTTTTTGCCCAGTGCGTGTATGTGTGTTGTGTTCAGTTGCTATATATTTTTTCAGCTGTCAAAAATATTGGACTCCAAAATCTCTTTTGGTCAGCCATTCAACAAATTCAAGAATTTATGCATTTATTTTGCTGCAAAGTACTTATAATCATGGACTGTTCGGATAATTTGATTTTATTGTACGAAAATTTCCGTTTGTTAATCTTTATCAGTAATTTTAAATCTGGATAACTTTAAAACTGTGCAATTGATGATTGAATTTTTATTTCAGCTATTTGATCAAGAAAATGTGCCAATGCCCATAGTTCACATAGACCAGGATTCAGACCCCAGTGCAACAATTGTGGAAGTCAGTTTTGGTGATCGCCTTGGAGCTCTTATTGATACGGTGACTTTTGCAGTTCCCTTATCTTATGCTTTCTGGAAGTTGTTTTACAAGATTTCATATATCTTATTCTCCTCATGCATTATATGAAGTCATTTTGAGGCTGTATGGTACAATGTAAATGCTAAACAATTTTCATATTAGATGTTGGCTTCTGGGTTATAATTGAATTTATTCATTAGTAGGAATCCTTTTTCTATTTCAATGTTGTGGTCAGAGCCTATGAATGCAGGAGCAATAGATGATCACAGAAACAAAAAATTGGCCTATAGGAATCTTATGTGTAAATTTATTTCTACTATCCTCACTTTGTGTAATACAAATTCACATTTTCTAAAAGAATGCTTTGGTCTGAATTTAGAGCCAAGTACTGAATCGTACTTCATCTGGTATGGTACTGAATCGTATTTCATCATCTTCTCTTGGATTTCTTGCATGTAGATGAGAGCATTAAAAGATTTGGGTTTGGATGTGGCAAAGGGAACTGTTAACACAGAGGGATCAGTAAAGCAAACGAAGTTTTATCTGACAAGACTGTGAGTTGTTTTCATTCTCAATTTTTTTTTCATTTAAGCTACTGTTTGATGTGGTTGCTACAGCTCCCTTGCTTATCTTATTCCTAATTTGTCACTTCACATGCTGGCTGTCCGCATACCACTTTTTTCTCCATTTATATTTTGTGTTTACTTTCTCTTTTCCTTATTTTGGGGAATACCACAAGTTGTATGGGTGGGCTCAATTTTGTCTCCTTTTCTAATTTTTGGTTCCTGAATTCAAAGAGGAAGGCAATTGTGATCCTATGAACTATTTTGAACAGAATTTACAAAACTGGTATGTTAAGAAAGAACTGGTGGCCTAATAACAAGCATGAATACAAACTAGATCGTGCACCTCCTCTTTTTCCCTGCCACAGTAAAATTCCATCATATCTTTCAAATTTAACAAAAAGTAGACTAAGGAAAGTTAGTAGTGAAAAGAATTTTGGCCTTCTGAACGAAGGGATGTTCATAAGCCAGCAGCAGGAGAAGTCCCAGTCTTTAGTTAAAATTTGAAGTAGAGAAACTTATGTTTAATGAAGCAGACAGCAAAGGCATAAAGTAGATAATAAGAAGATTTTGGATCTTTTTGGAAAGTTCAGCTAATATCCCAACTGGTCTACACCCAAAACTCATCCAACTCCTGGACTATGTTGCCAGGATGTAGGCTTATCTTCTGCCTACTTCTGATATGGCAGTGAGAGCATGGCCCCCTATTCGGATTCTTAGTTCTGACGCATGCCAGCATTCTGTTATGTTACCTTTTGTTATTTGAGGCTTTATTATATGATTTTAATTCAAGATCGCGTATTTAACTGCGCTATTTTGTAGGGATATCCTACCTGTGCTCTTATATAACTCACAAACCTTTTAACACGTGTTCTCATGTTTGTAATTATAGAGACTCGGGCCGTAAAGTAGAAGATCCTGATTTGTTGGAGAGCATTCGCTTAACCATCATCAACAATCTTTTGAAGTATCACCCAGTATGTAGACTGAATAACTCAACATGCTAATAACTATCTTTATGTTTTGGGTCTGAAGTAGATCTCTCACTTAACTTTCTGAATAGTTCCTCTAATTTTCTTTATCTTAGCTTTCTAGTTTCTTGGTAGGAATCTAGTCAAAAGCTTGCAATGGGTGAGGCTTTTGGAATTCAACCTCCAGAGAAGAAGGTATAACTCCCTTGATGCGCATACTATCTTTTATAGATAAATAGTTGCATTTAGAGAAAATATAACCATTCATCCAATTCGAGGAGTCGTTTGTAACTTCCTTTAGATGTGGTTTTCTCTTCTCCTCTTTTTGTAATTTCATGCTATCAACTTAATTTTTTCTTATTAAAAAAAAGAAAAAAGATAAAAACAAACAAAGAGGCAAGAGATCTTGTCTCAACTGAAGGCTAGAGGATTACAAAAGATTTTCCAACTAAACCGTATAAAAAAAGGATAATTACAGAAGGGTTTTGATGTAAGTGCAAGAGCCCGAGAAAAAGAATAACTTCAGCAACATCCCAAATTTCATTCTTGTCTCCCTTAATTTCATTCCAAACTATCCACAAGGCCAGTTACTGTATTCCGTCAGATAACCAAGAACTTGTTACCGTTCCTTCAAATTTTCATTNTTTTTTTTTTTTTTTTTTTTTTTTTTTTTTTTTTTTTTTTTGGTGAACTTGGAACCTAAATTGGCTTGAGCTGCTTAAATGTTCGAATTTTCCCCTTTTCTTTTTCTTTATGCTTTTAAGCTTTCATAGTGCTGACATCCATTGAATATACACACTCTTTTTTCTGACTGACATTTTCTGAGAAGAAAGAAAAAATTACTAGATTTTCTGAAAGTTTTCAAAGTGAAAATAGTAGTTTCTAAATGCATTGATGTTCAGTGGAGGTTTGTGGATAATTATCCCATTACGTATGTGATTAAATAACTTGATGTTGCATGACTATGAGTATCTTTTGTAGATTTTGCAGGAAAACATTGTCCTCTGTTCTTTTTGTTTGTTTGTTTATAAATCTGCCATCATCGTCTTGGAGTGAAATTCACTTCCCTTCAAATTAAGGTCCTCTTTTCATGTGACTGGGTCATAATTGTTTTCAGTAATCTCATTCAATAGTCATGCATCAAGTTGCAAGTTGTTCCGGATCTTGAGATCATTTTTTGGCCATCAAATTGCAGCACACTTATATTGTCATTTCGAGGGATCCAAGTAAAGTTTTTGATGGTTATGAGGTCCGTGTTTATGAGAGTAACTGAGATTCCTAATTTTCTTTATGCAGCTTGATATTGATATTGCAACTCATGTTCACGTGAAAGCTGATGGACCTAAAAGAAGGTTTTTTTCTACTTGATTTAAAATAAGCTTCTGAAAATTTTGTTGCTTCCCATCTAATAACTGTTGTACATGCCAAATTCTACAATATAATTAAACAAAATTGCGGAGTTAATTGTTCAATATCAACTAACTTTTTTCATTTTCAATTTATATAGCCTACTATGTTTGGAGACAGCAGACCGACCTGGACTGCTGCTTGAAGTTATAAAAATTCTTGCTGATATCAACGTTGAGGTCGAATCGGCAGAGATAGATACCGAAGTATAGCCTTCCTTCCAATCTTCTTTTTCTCTCTTCTTTGACTTAGCATAACAATATTTCAACTTTGATCTCTAGGGATTGGTCGCCAAGGACAAGTTTCATGTCAGTTACGGGGGAGCTGCGCTCAATAGTTCCTTGTCTCAGGTACATACATAGTTCATTAAATTTAGTGCGTGTTTGGGCATATTCTGGGAGTAGTGTTTTTTAAAGGTAACATAGCATTTTTATTTTTAGCACATTTAGAAAAGAAATTAAGTGTTGGTACTTTTTTAATTCACCATAAAATATTATAATTCCTATTTGTATTTTTCTTTTGAGGCAAATTCTTATTTGTTTATTAACCGCCCATTTGTTTAGGCATTATGAAATTTCTATCACGCTCTTCTTTCAAATTTATGAGGCTGAATGTAACAGCCCAAGTCTACTACTAGTAGATATTATCCTCTTTGGACTTTCCCTTTTAAGCTCCCCTCAAGGTTTTAAAATGCGTCTTCTAGGGATAAGTTTCCACTCCCTCGCAAGGAATGGTTTGTTTCCCCTCTTCAAGTGATGTAGCATCTCATAATCCACCCCGCTTGGGGTCCAGCGTCCTCGATAGTACACCGCCCAGTGTCTGGCTATGATACCATTTGTAATGGCCCAAGCCTACGGCTAGCAGATATTGTCCTCTTTGAGTTTTCCCTTCAGAGCTTCCCCTCAAGGTTTATGCTAGAGAGAGGTTTCCACACCCTTATAAGGAATGCCTTCATTCCCCTCTCCAACCGACGTGGGATCTCACACAGAATAAAGTTAAATCCCTTATTTTTCTATTACACCCCAACCACCGATCACTTATTTAACCATTGGTCTTCCTGCCTACTATTTTTGGACTTAAATGCTACCTTAAGTTTAGTTTAGGGGCTGAAATATATAAATTTGGAAAGTTCAAAACCAAAATGAAACAAACCTATAGGTTCATGGACTAAATTGCAATTTTAGAAACTAAAATAAAAAATATTAACAGACTAACTTTAGTGGGCTATAAACAAGAATGTGGAGGGGTGAAGTGATATATAAATCATGAGGCTTTAGGGACTTCTGATCTGTAAGGCTGTTTAGGTTGTTCTCCTTTTTTGTTATATATTTCATGATTTTCATTTTGGGTTCATCGTTTCTCTTTAATTAGGGGAAAGAAAAAAAAAAAAAAAAAAAAAATCTGGTTCACCGTGTGTTTAATGTGTAGGTAGTGGTAAATTGTCTTCGTTACTACCTGCGAAGGCCCGAGACAGACATAGATAGTTACTAAGATCTCGAGGAACCATCATCACAATGTAAGCTGTGAAACTGTCATGGGATCCTTTGTTTGTGAGCTTTCTCATCATTTCTAAAATTTTCTATTTCGAAATTTCGAACTCTCTGATGCATTCTGGGATATGCCTTTGGTGAGAATAATGCCTAATTAACTCAAACCTTGTTCACGCTCAAACCATAAATTTACTTGTATAGAGTTGAAGAATCAGATGTTGTCTCACAACAATGCAAATCTTCCATGTCTGTTGTATCTGTTGAAAACCGAGCTTCGAGGTAACAAATCTTTTCAGGTTTAAATATATTGTATTTTACGTTTTCAGTATAGTAATAACTTGCAGAGATATTGCTTATATGTTTCTAAAATTTATAAAAGGGACGTTAATAAAAACTGATTGGATGGATTTGATAATATTGAATGAAAGACGGTCTCTAGTATCTTATAATTATTTTATTAGAGCCAGATTTCAATCTTAGGACCTATGAGTTATGGGCCCGCTACGCTTTTACTATCTATGATGTTGTACTCAAATAAATGTTTGATTAGACCTACATGACAGGGAAATGAAGGAAAAAAAAACACTTATTTGTAACTTTTGACCAATTCAATTTTGACAATGACTAAACCGCTTGTTCTTGTTCAATCATGTTTAAGACCAATCAATTTTCTTACGAAATCACGAGTTTGATTTGATTGAGCTCGGTTTGTTTTATTGGCCTCCAACTTTTCTTTATCAAGAAGGAACTATAGATTCTTCATGTCACTGTAACTCGTGCTCCTATGTTGGCTTTTCTGCCGCCCTATCCCTAAGCTCATATCTCTTCTTATTGATAAGGTCCCGCAAATCCGAGCCCAGGTTGGCTGCATTGGGCTTGCCGAAATTTATGGCTGCAGGAAACTGCTGCACATGTGTTTACTTCAAGATACATTTGGGACTTATGTTGCACAATCCTTGTGCAAGTCCGACAACAGTTGGCATGGGATAATTGTCATCTCTAAGTTTAGAACAAAATGATCTCCTTTCCTTATGATCTCTTCTCCTAATGGCAACTTCTCGACTGGGGTTAGTTAAGAATCCTTTAGATAGTACCTCGACAACTGAGTCAGGGTTCGATTAGTTGAGGATCTTTTGATAGCATTTCGACAACTGTGTTATGTTATTTGATAATCCTTAGATAGTTCCTTGACAACTAAGTTAGGGATAGATTAGCTAAGAATCTTTAGATAATATTTCGACAATTGTGTTAGATTAGTTGAGGATCCTTAAATAGTACCTCGACAACTGGGTTAGATTAGCTGAAGATCCTTAGGTAGTATCTCGAAAGCTGGGTTACATTAGTTGAGGATCCTTAGATAGTACCTCGACAACTGGGTTTAAAGTTGGATTTCGAGGATTTGAGCTATACTTGAATGCATCTTGCAGACCTCCTCTTCAAATGTTGCATACTTTGTCCTTCGGCTTCGTCTTTTTTGCTACAAGTCGAGGAGGCTTTTCCCCCAAGATACTACATGCTAAGGGTGTTGATCTCAGTCAAACTCGTCTCTTTTACCATCGAGTTATTTTTCCTCACTTCGTTACTCCTGATTCTTGATTCATAGTAGAGCACAATATTGATCTCCCTGAGTCCACCTACCCTCTTATGCACAAGTGAATAATCGAGTTTTTGAAAGAACAATTAGATAGCCAAGAGTATTTAGTGTACCTTAAAATAAGGTTCTTGCCGTGTTTTATTTATGCAATTTTGTTGAATTGTCTAGTCATCGTAATTAGAAAACAATTATTACTCTATTTCTTTCGTATGAACAAGACCCTTTTGAACTCTAAATTTTTAACTACAATTCTCCTGCTTAAAATTTGAAACTACACAATGTCTACTATTTTGAATCATAAAAATTAAAAACAAATATACCCTAAAATGAAACTTTGATTAAAAATATATATTAGTGTTCTAACCCACTGAAGCTTTGTTCATTAATCAAAATGAAATGCAACTGAAAGAAAGACACAAGGCTACAAAGAAAAGGCAGGCCATTATTTCATTGTACAAGCAATGACCTTACAATTTCTTCACTCATTTTCCTTGTGGATACAAAAAGATGCCCTGCACCAGATAACTCATGGTAGTGAATCCAAGGAAGTTTTTGAGCGATGTAACGTTGTAGCTTAACAGGCACGAGCTTGTCGTCGTCGCCTTGCCATAGATGGATGGATCCTTCATTCTTAGGAAATATGTTTTCAAGAAGCATTGGATCGAACTCCCATTTACCAAATCCGACCATCAGGTCACGGTGCAAGGATTCGAATTCTCCTTGTTGTCTCACGTATTTCTGAAGAAAAAAGGGGAAAAAAGATGCAGCGTGATATGAGCTAAACGGAGATAGAGGACACGTCCCAGATCCACCGCTAGCAGATATTGTCCTATTTGGACTTTCCCTTTCGGGCTTCCCCTCAAGGCTTTAAAACGTGTCTTGTGTCTACTCCCCTTCGAGACCCAGTGTTCTCGTGTCTACCCCCCTTCGGGGAACAACGAGAAGGCTGACACATTGTCCGGTGTCTGGCTCTGATACCATTTATAAGGGTGTGGAAACCTTCTCGTAGGAGATGCGTTTTAAAGCTTTGAGGGAAAAGCCCAAAGAAGACAATATCTGCTAGTGGTGGATCTAGGACGTTACAATTCCCCATCCCTGTTCTTGCGTAGAGAAATTTATCTTTAAACAAAGTATTTTATTGGGTAGGAAATGAACTATTTAGTGAAGATTTTTCATGAATAATTAACCATCCAATTGAAAAAAGACTTATTTGGATCAAATTAAATTAAAAAACAAACAAACAAATAAGGAATAATTCCCCGTGGGGAACCCGATCATCATAAACTTTAACTGAAAATTTCACGAGAATGGAGATTAAACCGGGATCCCTATTTCTTGTCTCGACCCTCCCTATGGAAATTCCTACATGTAAATAATAGAGGACTTGAAAAAAATAGGCTCAAACTATGACGGCCACCTACTTAAGATTTAGTACCTTTATGAGTTATCTTGCCTACCCAATGTAGGAGGATCATAAAGTAGACTTATGTAGTCGAACCTATCTACTATAGAAGACGTCTTGCTTTCAAGAACTGAAAAATAAACTAAGGGAAAGAGAGACTTATTACCTGGTCCACTGGCAAGCCTTCGTGACTGCGAATAATTTCAATATCTTGACTGGAAAGGATCTCAGGCCTACCGGCTAAAATGCTCACTGGAGGAAAGAATTTCTGAGTGTTCCACCAATAAGTTAGCCATGGAAGATGATGAGCAACCCTTAGTGCCCATTGATCTTGTGGTAGTTGGCTGGACAAACCTTCCTTTGATAAGTTTGCAGGAAAACTAGGCCACCAGTAGTTGATAGCTGGAGCGAGTAGAGACGCTCCCGCCAATCTGCAACATCAAAGGATTATTACATCTTTTTATAGCAGAAAGATATACGGCTGAATTGGTCAAAATATGCGGAATTTCTTACTTTTTGCGAAGGATTAGGTCCATTAACAGGGGTGCAGGTATAATAACCCCACCGATTAGCTATAATGACTACAAAATTATCGATAACTAGTGTAGCACTGTTGAATGATGAGTATATGCTAGAGCTTTGTTCGTGCACTGAGAAGACCATAGTTCGTGGATTGTGTTCAAATTATACAAGTAGCTATGACATAATGAGTTGCATACCGTACCGATCGTGCTCTAGAAATCATGTTGCTTAGGCTTTAGCTTGAATGAAATATCCTAAACATGAATTTGCAGCTATGGGCTCCTTGGTACAAAATGCTTTAAGTTGTAGCCCAAGAGACAAATATGGATGAATTCTAGACTTAATTAATGAGCAAAAGATGTGTAGTTCAGTAGTACCTGTGAGGGATATACTTGAGACAACCCCAAACTGCTTGGCCACCCATTGACAAGCCAATTACATAGAACTTAGGACCCAATCCTAGCTGATCACCAAGCTCTTCAACATCTAATGCTAAACTCTCTACCGTTCGCGTTGGATGCGGGTCGCTTTCTCCGTATCCAGGTCTGTCAAGAGAGACGACATAAACTCCGAGTTCTTCAAGAAACCCCTGAAAATTTATCACCAAAGAGAAAAGAAATTAACCATCTAACAGGCATTGAAAAAGCAGTAAATAAAAAAGTACTGAATCCAAGTAGAGTAGTAGCTGCATACAGGAGAAGGATGAATTGCAACTGCTGCATCATCTCTGCAACTAGAAAAGCCATGGACATATATGATCTTGAATTTGGCTACTGTTCTGGAGACACCATGTTCCTTGTAAGCCAAATGCCTTCCATCTCTAAGTTTTATTCTTGGACCAGTTATTGGCGGACCACCGACAGAACCACATATTTTAGGAGCTGGAGGGCGAATGGCTGAAAATGCCCAGGCTGACAACCCAATTAAAATGACACCTAAAACTCTTAGGAACATCCCTGAGAATAAGAATAATGCTAAAAAGTAAATCCCAATGAGTTGGTTTGATTGAGAAAGAATCCAACCGTCATCATATTTATATGAGATCGATCTTTGAACTTGTGTTTGTTAGGTTCTAGTACCAAGAACCTTCAATCTTGTGTCTAATAAGTTCCTATCATTAACTCCATTAGATCGATGTTTCAACAGAACGATGGCTAGATTATATAAAGATCCTATGAAACATTTGATTTGAGGTAGGTTGAAGTCTTCGTGTTGTAATCATCAACAAACGAGTTAACATGGATATATCTATTAGACACAAAATCGAAAGTTTAGAGCCTACAACCTTGTTTAAATACAATCCTGATCTATTTGAAACGTTTTACCACACAAAAGATTCAAAAGGATCTTAGAAAACTTGTAATTAAACCTATAAAACATGAAGAATCAGCCCAAATCTGTTCGAGAAGGGAGAAATCCCAGAGAACAGGACTGTGACTCTTCTATTACATGACAGAAACTTTCATCTCATCTTCTTTATGAGCTTAGCAATATGTATATGAGGTGAGGGATTCAAACCTCTCACCCTAAACTGTCAAACTACGCTGCATCAACATTCATATCATCGAGCATCATCATGCAAACACTGAAGCATAATTTTAAGGAAGGCACAAGTTTCTCGACAGAAAAAACTCAAAAGAAAATCAAAACGAAAAAAAGAAGTTCATCGGATAATCCAGATTCCATAGAAGAGAAGATCAATCTTCCATCTTCTTTATGAGCTTAGCAACATTACTGAAACATTCATCTCATCTTCTTTAGGAGCTTAGCAATAATATATATCTGAGGTGAGGGATTCAAACCTCTCTCACTAAACTGTCGAACTATGCTGCATCAACATTCATATCATCAAGCATCATCATCAAACACTGAAGCAGAATTTTAAGGAAGGCACAAGTATCTCAACAGAAAAAACTCAAAAGAAAATCAAAACGAACAAAAAAAAGTTCATCGGATAATCCAGACTCCATAGAAGAGAAGATGAATCTTCCATTTTCCGTCGGAACTATATTGCAGAATATTAGCCTAAACAGAAATTTTCCAAATGCGAAAATGAGCAGAAATTGTATCATTCCACAAGAACACACAGAAAAAGATAGAAAGCAAGAGAAAAAGGGAGAGCGACCTTTGTGTTCAGAGCTTCAAATTCGAAGCAATCGGATGACTCTGCCTCCCTTCCTTCTTTTCTCTTCTTTCTTACCTTTTATAAACAAAGAGTCGAGCTGCCACGTCATATGGACATTAAAATTGACAGAGAAAAGGGTACCAACTTTAGAAATTATTCCATAAAAAACCAAAATATTTACTCTAAATATATTGCGATTAATATTAGGAATTATATATATATATATATTTGTTGAAATTGTTCGATTTTGTTTATTAAAAAAATAAATATATAATTTGATTATATTATTTTGTGTATTAAACAAATATTTTCATTTTATGATATATAAAATATTAAGGAGACGAACAAATTACAGGTAGGAAATGAATCTTCAGTAGTAGAAAGTATAATAAGTCGAGTCGTTATTTCTATTAGCGGTCATTCTATCTGACCAGAGAGGTCGGGATGTTACACAAGTCACTAAACACGTTGTCTTTTTACTAAAAAAATTTAGTGATATATTGTTGCCATAAAAAATAGACGCATGTACCTTTAGCTATTAGGAAACGTGTTTGGATACGTTGCCCTATTGTTTCGTCTCACATTTGTTCTTCCACATTTTTTCCTCTAAAATGATCTAACAATTCCTCACCTATAGTATGTGTTTGCTAATGATGAACCCTTAAATAATTCTCGTTTTTTAGTGTTTTTAATAACAATTTTATATAATGTCTATTTTTGGAGTTATTATATTAATTACAAATTCTTTTTTCTTACTAAATTTGCTACCAATCAATTTAAAGTCATTTATTATATCTGAAGTGTTTCTTCAAAATAGATTTTAGATAGTATTGATTTATACAAAAAAAAAAAAAAAAAAAAAAAAAAAAAAAAAAAAAAAAAAAAAAAAAAAAAAAAAAAAAAAAAAAAAAAAAAAAAAAAAAAAAAAAAAAAAAAAAAAAAAAAAAAAAAA